AAAATGATGACATCAATAAACCCTGGTGCACAGGTAGCATGATACTTAGTGCAACCACCAAAAATCTACGGGAAGACAGGCATGCAAATACACTCAGAGTCACAAAAAAGACAACAGAGAGACAAATAGCTAGAAGAGCAAACAGAAACAAAAAATAAAATGTCAGACAGACATTATTCAAAATATATCAGCAGTTACATGAAATATGAATGACCTACATACATGAATTAGAAGACAAACATAGTCAATGTGGGATAAAAATTCATGAACCAAATATATGCTATTTGCTAGGAAGTTAGATATATAATAGTGCAGTGAGGTTTAAATGGAACTATATTTCACTTGAAAGACATTTGCTAGAGACAGTATGGGGCATTATGTAATCATAAAAGGGTTTGTCCCCCAGAAAACAAATCAATCCTAAATGTGTATGCACTAAATATTAGAACAGCAAAATATATGAAGAAAAATCAGAAAGAATTAAAAAAGAAATAGATAAATTTGTACCTATAGCTAGAAACTTCAATGTGCTTCCCTCAGTAACCGTAGAACAACTACACTGAAAATCAGCAAGGAAAGAGTAAAAATATCAATACTTTTGATCAAAAGTTTCTCATCAATATTCATTGAATATTACTCAACAATGGAAAAACTTAACTTTATATCTAAGTGTTCATCAAAAAATATACCAAGATAGGCCATATTCTGAGCCATCAAACAAACCTTGGCAAACTGGAAATAATTGTGTTCTCTAAACACAAGAGAAGTAAACTAGAAATGAATAACAGAAAAAAAGAAAATACTCAAGACATTTGAAACAACATTATTCTAAATATACCATGGGTCAAGGAGAAGATCACAAGGAAATTTTAAAAAGCACCATGAACTGAGGAAAACCAAAACTATAACACATCAAAATATGTAGGGAAAATGAGTGAAGTTTATAGCTCTAAAGTTATTTATCAGAAATGTAGAAAAGCCTCTACTTAATATTATGTGAGAACTTAGCGGGTGGTCTTGCTCAGTGGTAGAGCACTCGCCTCACATTCATGAGGACCTGGGTTTCATCCCTCAAAGTACCAACAAATATAGAATCAAAATCACAAACAAACAGAAAAATTAAGTTTAAGCTTCCTATCAAGAACTTAGAAAAATAATATAAAGAAAGCAGACTCAGGGCTGGGGATATGGCTCAAGCAATATCGCGCTCGCCTGGCATGCACGGGGCTCTGGGTTCGATCCTCAGCACCATATAAAAAATAAAGATGTTGTGTCCACTGAAAACTAAAAAACAAACATTAAAAAATTCTTTCT